AATATGACTATATCTGACCATACGGAATGTAGGTCGTGCTTCATGCATATTAATTCACATTTCTGTTTCGGCACAACAGCCAAACGCTTCGATTTCGCAACGTTAAACCTATCGTCAATCCGCTATAAAGGCATAATAATTTATGTTGACTATGCTAAAAAACCCAGCGCGTCTTTGTTCACTTCTCTGCTGTACGATCGCATCACGATTATCTTTCATTCTGACTGTGAGTCAGGCTGTCGCTCAAAAGGCTTCTTCGCTTGTTAGGTTGCCTTCAGAAGACCTTGATTTGCGACGACCGATCTCTCCGAGGCGATCATGCACCGTCGTACGTTTCACCACTGCAACGCGTAGGCAGGTAGTACTCGCCGTAATGAAGGTCGAATCAACGAACGTGTTATTATCTTGTTCAAAAAAACCATCTCGAGCTATTAGGTCTTGATTGGGAACTCGACGGGGGTTGCTCGCGGCGACGAACGAAGTCCCGTTTGTGGAAATACGCTAAAACGCGGCAGCACGGTCGCCCACAGCAACCCTGGCTTCTCTATAGGCTACCCCCCCCGTACCCACCCCCGAAATGCATTGAATTCCTATACATAATATTTAAATATATAATACTCTGTATATTTACCGCCGAAGCTCTCGCTTTATAACGCGATGTGCATTCGTTGCATCCACGCCCGTCGGCCTGGTATTTGATTTTATGATTAGCCGATTATGTGTAATCCATAACTTCATAGCGCAAAAATTTAACTATCTTGACCGGTTAGAGGACTATGCAGTGACTGAGGTTTTGTTATGTTAGTTTCACTGTTTATCGTAACGTTCTTTCGCCCCCCCCCCCACTGTGCAGTTGACTGCAAGAAACGATCATGCGCTTATATGAGGTGGTATATTAAAGGTTTATCATGGCAGTCGCGCTGGGCTACCGCGCACAATATATTATATCTACGTTAGACTAAGTCTAGCCAGTGCGCACGTGTTATTGATACCTCTTTTAGAATATTGACACAATGTAAAACGCTAACGACGTCTATGTTAATGTAGGCACGGCGTGATTCTCTCGAGATTTATAAAAGACTTGCGATATCTGATTGCGTCCTCACACCGTCGATGCGCGTTGAATGGAGTTCGTATATTAACGTACGTAAATGCTCCAAACGGCTGCACAAGAATGTATCTTGTTCGGGCCTTATTGCTGGCCATAAAATTACGGCAATTTTTCCCCTCTTGCATTTGTAGGTGTGGCTTTGTTATATACGTGGGTTGGTTTTGCTGTCGTCTATCCTACGCTAGCTTTCTTGTAATATAGATATCCTGATGAATAATGTTGGCACTCTGGGTTTACACCATCACGTTAACATTACAGACTCTCTCGCGCGCGCGGCGCTCTCTCTCTCTCTCTCTCTCTCTCTCTCTCTCTTAATTATTCGCTTTCACGCTCTATCTCAGTCTCCCTGTCTCTTTTTCACTCCCTATATCTTTCTCTTTCTCTATCTCTATTTATATCTCTATCTCTATCTCTATCTCTATCGCTATCTCTATCAAAATGATTACATTGAGTAATATACGCTATCTTGTAAGATTATGCACGCACGTATAGGTGTTCATATCTATTGACGGTCTCAACAGAAACTCTCTGTGATTGCGCGAATAATAATGCTAACGCCTCGGTTGATCTGCATTTCAACACTGTTCATCCTAGCTGTTGTGTGAATTTAACAGCCAATGTCTAAATCGGCGTATGTAACTCCAACTGGGTTGCTACACCAGAGGGTATATATAATATTATTTAGGATTTAGAATAGAAACCTCAGAATACTACAGAGTTGTGTACAGCCAAATAAATACTCCCACCGACTCTTGACTTCTCCCCCAAACAAAGTACTCATACCCCCATATTATGCTCCCCATACTGTCGCCGACATCACACTCCCTCCTACACGTACCGCTTCATCGCGTCACTCGTCACACAGGTGATACGCGTGTTGCATACCGCTGTAAATTACAAACCCGTTAACTACGACGTATACAGCCTGTTCTGCTAGCATCTATGACAAATACGACATACGCATAATAATACGCTCTCCTATGACACTATTTGTCATAGGAAGAATCTTCCTATGACAAATACGACATACGCATATACGCTCTCCTATGACACTATTTGTCATAGGAAGCTTTTTCCTATGACAAATATTGTTTGTATGCGTTGTGCGCATCATAGGAGTTTAGGAGCGCTATTATGAACGCAAGCAGTGAATTTCAGCTGTAAAGCGGAACGAACTTGACTCGCCAATATTTGTCGTAGGAGTGTCATAGGAGAGCGTATATGCGTATGTCGTATTTGTTACAGATGCAAGCAGAACATGTTGACGTATATAAGAGAGACCTTGGCTCTGTAGGCTTACATTATTGTAGCTAACGACGACAGTGCCGAAAACCGAACAACCGCGACGAAAGCAGGACGACGTGTTAGTTTTCTGTGTAAATGCGTAGTTTTGATTTACGGCACCGCTTCATATACCGCTTGTTGAATAGACTTTCTTCTGTATATCGTACAATGGCTTCCACTCACTGCGTTCCTACATCGCTTGCTTTGCTATTACATTGCATCATTTAGGCATTGCCACGTATCAGGATATTCGCGGGGAATCGCTGGTGTTGTCGCCAGTATTCATATGAAGCGTGTGTGAAAGAGCGTGTGGGAGCGTGTGGGAGAGCGTGTCCGCGAAAAATGCTATTCATGATACTTGTATAGCTTCCTCTCACTAACGACCGGTTGCTTTTAAGCGATCCGGCGTTGCTGTATCAGAACGAATCCTGTTGCGCCATAGGCATCCTTAGCCACCCGTAAATGACGTGGGAACGCCTTCGTGACTGTTCGGCAAAGATCGGACCGATGGAGTGTTTCCGGCGGCGAGAGCGCGCCTGTACCTCGTGGCTGTCAATATTGCTGTCACGACTGTGCGTGTATCGGAGTGTATGCGTGTATCGGTGTGTTGACACTGTTGCGGAGTTACGTGCAGCAGCTAGTAGTGAGATCAGCTATACTCAACGTCGACAGCTATACGTGACATATAATCTCGTCGCTCCGTCTTATATCCGCGTTTTAATCTTCGCGAAGCGCCGCGTGTGTAAAACGTGTTTAACGGGCCGGTTTACGAATTTGAGAGACAGCTATGTCGGAGAAGTGTCACCGACGCCTGACCCCTGGGCGTTGGCTGTAATGTGTATCTGAGCAAGAACAGCACTAAACTCTCGGCACACATGTGAATTTTCAAGAGCAGATCACTCGGAATGTCATGCAAGTGCGTGCGTAAAAGGTATAACTAGCGGGATGACGAGAAATTGTTAGCGATGACCGCATCTAATGTTCACGTCAATGTGTGTCTATTGTTCACGCTTTTCTGCACGTCATTCGCACTTTTAGTAGGTACGTCTAACAGGTGTCGTGGTAATAGCGTAGGCGTAATAAACGTGTTTTCGACGCAGTCCGACACAAATTCTATGGACCATATACCGTATTCGATTAACACGTAACGCGATCTAATCAAACGCGATCTAATGTAATAAGAAAAATGCAACAACAGTCACGCCATCAGAGACGCGTCTGGCTCGTCTCGGAACCATCACGCACGCACGCACGCAAAACGCACGCACGCCTGCTAGTAAAGTCTACTCTATGACATGTTTGGTTAGTAGGTTATTAGTGTGCGACCCAGCTACGATCTCGAAAATACCCACTGGGGAGATTACATAATACATGGCCTCCCTCCATCAACCCACTGAGGCAATAGCAGCTAGCGCAGCATGTGGCGTTGACTTGCAGAATTAATCCAACTCGCCAGATGATGGCGACGTTGACGATGACGATGACGATATAGATGATGTGATTGCATCCTCATCCCGTGACCACTGGCGCAGCTGTCATGGTGGGTGGTGTGGCAATAAGGAGTTTTGGTGTTTGGTTACACGCGATCTGGCGCACTGGATTAACCTTGTCACAAGGTTAATGCCGCGAGACTCGCACCACCATCCCCACCCACCCAGTACTAAACAACTAATTTAATCTTACTTGTACGAGACAGGAGCCTAAACGCTATAATCCCCTCTCTCGTTTTGTTTTGCCCTCGCTGGGTGCGATTGTTTGTGTGTGTGTGTGTGTGTGTGTGTGTGTGTGTGTGTGTGTGTGTGTGTGTGTGTGTATGTGTATGCGTATGCGTATGCGTATGCGTGTGCATATGCGTGTGCGTGTGTATGTGTGCATGTGTGCGTGCGTGCGATTCTGTGTGTGTGTGTGTGTGTGTGTGCGTGTGTGTGTGTGTGTGTGTATCTCGTGCAGACTACCGACTACCAGAGCTGTCACGTCTATATGCAAATCATACATTCTCATTCGAGGCCGCCATGTATAAAATGTAAATGTACAGTGTAGTGGTTTCGTTACTTATAGTATCAAGCTTCGGCTAAGATTACGCGGCCTGGATAGTATATATAACTATTGTCGGTTTGCCTGTCGTATTATGTGTGGAATTAGTAGACAACGGTCCTAGACCGAAATCGTTCGAAGTTTCTTTGCGTTCTGTCTGATCTGAAGTTCATCCATTGTGATCTAATGAGCCTTACACTCCGGCGTGCCTCAGTGGTAGAACTAGTCACGGTGGATTCCGGGACAAATGACCACTACCCTCTAAGTAAACTTAGTGCAGGCATTGCGATAATATAAGTGTGAATAAAATCCGCTGGTGCAAACAAATAAAATGAATGTAAAACGCGCTTCTAGAAACGTAATGACATTTTTACACTGTTTTATATCGCCCATAAGAGTAAAACAAAACCGTTTTCGTTAACAGAATTAAATATATTAACCCGCCGACTGCATTCAAGCTTTTTAAGTAACATCATAGAGTAAGGATAATATAATCCGAAGCTTTTGTGATTCGGCCTACATTAATGCGTGACATAAAAACTATTGCCAAGTAATCTTTCTAGAACAGAACTTGAACAGGTGCCCAAAAAATCTCATATATTTTCCAATAAATTAAGAGAGAATAACACAATAAAGAATTGCGTTCGTGATCAGATTGATTATAGCAGCCATAAATCACCACAAATTCACCGATTATCAATTTTTAAATACATGATTCTACATTTATTTTAACATGTAATGCATATATCAATAAGGATTCAAGTATTAGAGGGATGAACAGAAAACTTCAAAATCACGAATATTCGTATATTTTAAATCTTCCTCTCTCGCAAAACGCACTGTCAAAACAAATACACCTTTAACGCTTAAGCATTCATTTACGACAATAATGATGTGTTCGGCTAATGTAATGGGTTAACCAAGAAACAAATGGCAAAACCAGTGTGTGTGTGCAATAAACTAGTATTTGCTTCTTAGTATTACAAACAAACAATTCACACCTGCTGTCACGTAAACAGTTACGATATCACGTCTAACGATTAACGTTTCAGCGTTATTTTACCTTTACATCTACGGCTTACGCCGCGGCTTTACATGAATCAGGTGTCCCTGACAGAGCAGTAGCTGCAACATCGCCACGGGTGATAAAATGTTGATCAATAGCAGACAGGAGGTTTTAAAAATATGTTCAATATTTCGGCCTGCAATACCTCGGCGTCTATCCATATCGCCATTGCGTAACAAACCATTCACTCGCCATGAACACCGTTGAGTTAGATGGGGTATAGGGGGGACACACGATCTCTGCCAGATATGTACCGCGCATGCTTGTTAATCCTAGAAATTCATAACCAAGATTTCTCCAGCTGCGTTTGCGTCTGCCGGTAATTATATCATTTAGCAAAATAAACCACTGGTTGCAGAATCATTCCCGCTCTCATTACATCCAGCCAATCCATAGTCCATCAATACAAGGTGTCTATATCCATAGTTGTAGTGTGAGCGGACGGAAATGATCTTGCAGCCAGGTGGAGTAAGCGTTGGGTCACAGGCGATTCTCCTCCATTTTGTCTGCTCGCGCGCGTCTGTGCGGCTATTAGGGGGTCGCATGAGTTGTTACACGGCGGCGACAACAGCGGGTATATAGGCCCTATCTAGGTATTCCGTCGGTGGAATATTCGTGCACGACGAGCGACGACGGGTGACTGGAGAAGGATGAATCAGCAACAGTGAGTGGAATTCACCCATTAATATGACGAGGAAGCGAAGAAGTTGCGTCGGTTGCATTTGCTGATTATGTGATCTGTTTATTTAGCACAGGCAGATGATATAGCCATGATAATAGTTGAATATTTTTTTTACCGTGTGTATATTTTTACTCGTACGTCCGTCCAAATTGGTACAAATTCTTGGTGGCGCGCGGCATGATAACGTATCATAAAAACAAATTACACTAATTTTATTTACTTCTAATATATATTAGGTATTGAGAGCAGATGGTTTCACTTCTACTTTGAACGGTTAGAGCATCCTATATGACAACATTATTATGTTAATCACAAATATCGACCGTTATAGTGCTATTATCGTAAAACGAGGATAACAATATTACCAGCCGTAAGGGCGATTTTTTTTCCAAAACTTTAACGCTCTATTGTCGCAATCGTCGTCTGTGGTAATTGCGTATAAGACCTGTACGGTGTGCCACCAATTCATGCGCAAAACCCCGGTGGCTTATGATCGTACCCGCGAGATGGAGCCACACCGCACTTCCAAGTTAAGTCTATAGCCGACGCTGGCGTCACCTAGTAGCGAAATTGGTTGCGCCCGAAGCAGGTGATGGGGTTGAGCAGGCATCTGACGCTGTAACGATTCCTCTGGGGCCGCTGGTAGACGGAGCCGAATCGCTTCTGCACGCGATAGCTGCTGCCGACGCCAGCGCCTTTGCTGTCGCGATCCAACTCTTGCAGTACGTATTGCCGCAGTGGCGACGACAATCTCTCGGCCGTCTCGGGAACGTCGCTCCACTTGTCCTGCAAACAGAGTAACAGCGACGCATCGTGAAGAGAGGATCGAGTCAGAGCGTTCGAGTAAAAACCGAGCACGCGAATCACGCCAAGGCGAGAGCGACGCCTTCGTCGTCCTTACCGCGCATATATACCGCAGCCGACGTTTAAAACACGCGTTATACGGTCCGTTGTCTTCCTTTACCGACTGATTTTTCAGCGTCTGAGGTGATTTTTAATATTGGCGGCGGTCCCGCGCGTGTTTCGGCCGGGCTTTCTCATTTGCAAGTTAACCGCAGACACACAAACTGATACGTGCGTTAAGTGACGCTGAGTGTAAGAGAGGAAGTCATGCTCGCACACACGCCACTACATCCGTCGTCTAACAATACGCAAACACGCACGTAGGCACGCATAGACGCACACTAACACGCGCGTATGCACGCGAACACGCTAACACGTCAGCAAGGAAGCACGCACGCACGCAGACACGTATGTACGCGCACTATAACACACACGCATGGACGAACGCACGCAAACACGCACGCAAGCAATAGAGAACGTCGCTTAGCGAAATCGTTAAGGCGAGAGAAATTATTAGGAACGGCGAGAACTAGAGAGAATGCCGTGACGACAGGTCTGTGCATGAATTTATACTGTCTGAGTTGAGACAATTCGATATTCGCCGCCCCTTTGCTTCCCCTAGCCGCCGCTGACGCCGCCACCGCCACCGACACCGACACTTCTAGAGTGTTTTCCGCCGGCTTGACAATCGGTAACGCTGCATGCGTCGTGCCCCGGAGCAAGTAACGCGCAACCAGTGCCAGTAATTCCCAAACGCCCTTCTCGTTTGGCATGGGTTGTCTCTCCTGTGACATCTTACGAAACGAGAAGGGTTTAGGTCAAGTTAGCCACGATGTGTTGACCGTTAACTAACGTGTGCCTATGAAGTTAGCCGACCTTCGTTTCCTTTAACTCGTTAAGGCTAAAGTCGAGCAGCTATAAGTATACTATACTAGTAATATAAGGTAATATAAGTATATACCGTGAATCACCCGATCATCAGTCGATCGTCGCGTGACAAACTCCAGCTGCCTTTCCCCCATGCGCTACCCATGTTTACGACCGACTAGTGTTGTGAGCAATATATATATACAATATCTAATATATATATTATATATAATATATATATATATACATATATAGATAAAAAAACGAACTTTGTCTATGCATTCCCCCATTTATTGATTTCGGACCCCCAAAATACTCGGCATATTTATTTTTTTCTACGCAATTCTACGTGATAGATACGCACGAACGATATTTAATATATGTGTGTTGAATATGCAAATATGTTAAATAAGCTGTACAACTATATGCAAATACTGATAATGCTCTATCAGAATGCATTGCAAAATGTAAAAAGTGCTATGATGTAAACATGCATATACTGATCACTTCACCTAATCCGATTTGACTATAAACTTAATTAATCACTTTAAAAATTTAAAGTAAGTAAATTAAATAAGATACACAGCAATTACAACACACGCTAATGAAATAATGAATCATCTACGTTTTCGCATGATCTTTCCTTGACAAAATACGTTGGCGCCAAAAAAGGGTGAAGAAGAGTGAACAAGAGACATAGAGAAAGAGGCAGAACGGAAGAGAGAGCGCGCGCACGCGGAGAGAAAAGAGAGCTGGAGAGAGACATACAGAGAAAGGAGAGAGAAAAGAGAGCGAAAGAGAGAGAAAGAACGAGAGAGAGAAAGAGAGAGAGAGAGAGAAAGAAAGAGAGAGAGAGAGAGCGAGAGAGAGCGAGAGAAAGAGAGAGAGAGATGGAGAGAGATAGAGGGGGAGAGAGAGATAAGCTAGTATAAGCCATGCAGTATAAGGCAGTATATAAGGGAATATGTTGCCATTAGTCCAGCATGTGACGCGGGCCGAGAGTAGTATTAATCAACCCTCTGGCTGATCGCCTGATTATCTTCTAACTAGGATATATATAACTATCTATGTATGTATCTATCTATGTCTCTCTTTCTCTCTCTTTCTCTCTATTATATATATACACTACAATCGCGCTGTCGCTCCCCAAGCGACGTAGCGGTCACACATCTGACAGTGACAGGCCGTAGCTAAGCTGTAAAGCTGTAACCTCTGTTAGCTTGGCCGTAATCAGGCCACCGCAGACTGACAGATTGCCGTAGGGGACAAGACAAGGATATAAAGCCGTGTTCTGCCTACAACTCTTTGATTACTTCTTGAATAACATAATGACTTGACAGGTGACACACTGACAAAGATGTTCAAGGCTGACGGGCCATGTAATATGCACACACACACACACATCACACACACCCACAAATCACACACACACACACACAACACACAACACGACACACACACCCACACATCACACACACACACACGACACACACACACAACACAACACGGACACCACACACCACATTACACAACACACACACGACACACACACACACACACACGATCACACAAAACACGTACACACACACCAACATCACCATCACACACATAGCATCGACACACACACACACACACACACACACACACACACAACATACACACACACACACTCCACACACACACAACACACATACACAACACACTTCATCACACGACCACACACACACAAACACACACACACAACACACAACAACACAACACCATCACACACACACACACAAACACACATGACACATCACACACACACACCCAATCACACACACACACACGCCAACCACGCACACCACGCACACACACAGCACATGCACACACAACAAACACATGTTGGTATATATATACTATAATATATATTATATATATTATATATTAAATACAGCTGCAGCCCTAGCGGAATGTAATGTAGTATGAAAGTGAGTTGCGAGGCGTCGCTTAACACAACCCGGCCGTTGGCCGCTACGTTCACACGCTCACACGTTTGCTGTTGACCAGGTATCGCGTGCATTTGCGTCTATTCGTCAGTCACGTCGGTCGTGCAGGACCAGTATATTAATTTAGTCACCGTTTATATTTAATTTTTATTAATTTGTATTAATTCTACTGGCGTATATGTAATTATCTATGGCGCTTGAATACGCGGTTGCCGCTTAGGTGTTGATATTTCGCTTCCGAGTACTGTTCAGGTGGTTATCCTCGTCTTGTATTCGCCTGTTCTTGATAGGGTGCGCCTTTTTTTTTTCAAATAAAAAAGTTTTTTTTCAGTAGGGCTCCCTTCTCTTCGGCCCTGTCATTTTTAGGGTTAGGTCTTGCTTCCTTCATCTCCGTACTGTCAGGATACGTCGCATTTGTGTCATCCCTGTACGGTCAGGAATACGCACTCTCTTTCTTACATCCCTGTACTTCTAGGGACTAGGTTTTCTTTATTATGGGAGAAAGTCACACGTTGCGCTATTGTTAATCACTCACGAAAATGAACATTAGCGGGAGCATATCGAGTAGAGCTGTGTCGTGTTCATTTGTAACGTAATTATGGTAATGTAATACAGCATATCGACCTGCGCTGCTAAAGATATCATGCGCGAGTGCCCGGCCGCGACTGGTTTCCGGTGGCGCTACACCATCTAGGCTACATCATCGCCGCGGCCGGGTCGTGTTCTCGCGTCCATCAAATGGGCAATCATACCACCCGCCGCTCGCTCCGTCAATGAAACAGTGCGCGCATTGGGATTTCCATCGCGATCGATAAAGCGACGAAATAATGGAAGTTAGCTGGCCCGGCGATCGCTCACGTCGTCCCGCGCGGCAGGCGGGCGGCAGAGTCGCGGGCCGCGAAGGAGATATATATAGTATATATATACAGCTTCCTTGATGTTTGCGCATTCTTATCCAATATATTCAATTAGGCATAGTATACGCCTAACTTATTTCGGATGGAGCAGGTGATAAGCCTCATGTTAGGTTGTGTATGTAGGATCTGCCATAGGTTAGGTGTGTATGTAGGATTGCCTAGTAGTTAGGTTGTGTATGGAGGATTCCATAGCTTAGCCGTGTATGTGGGTTGCCATAGTTAGCGCCTGTATGTAGGTATCCTGCATAGTTAAGCGTGTATGTAGGATTGCCTATTAGCGCTGTATGTAGGATCTGCACATAGTTGTAGCCGCTGTGAGTAGGATCTGCATATTTAGCCGCTGTATGTGGGATCGCATAGTTACGCGTGTATGTAGGATCTGCCATTAGTTAGGTGTGCTATGTAGGATCTGCATAGTTAGCGTGTATTGTACGATCTGCCACATGTAGCCGTGTATGTGGGATCTGCCATAGTTAGCCGTGTATGTAGGATCTGCCATAGTTAGCCGTGTATGTGGGATCTGCCATAGTTAGCCGTGTATGTAGGATCTGCCATAGTTAGGTGTTTATGTAGGGATCTGCCATAGTTAGCCGTGCATGTGGGATCTGCAGTCGTTAGCTGTATATGTGGGATCCGCCGTCGCTAGTCGTATATGCGGAATTTGCTGTCGTTACTCAGAACGATCCTGTTGCGCCATAGGCATCCTTAGGCCACCGTAAAATGGGGAAACGTGGGCGAAACCTTCGTGACTGTTCGCAAGATCGACACGATGGAAGTGTTTCGGCGCGAGAGCCGACTGCTACTCGTGGGCTGTCAATTGCTGTCAACGGACGTTCCGCGTGTATCGGAGTGGATGCGTGTATCCGGTGTGTTGACACTGTTGCGAGTTACGTGCAGCCGTAGCAGGGAAGATCCAGCACTATACCTCAACTCGCACAGTATTACGTGACATATAATCTCGTCGCTCCGTCTTATTTCGCTGGTTTAATCTTCGCGAAAGCGCGCGTATGGTAAAAAACGTGTTTAACGAGGCCGCGTTTACGATTTGAGAGACAGCTTTTCGGAGAAGAAGTCGTCACCGACGCCTGACCCACTGGCGTTGGCGGCTAATCGTGCTATCTGAGCAAGAACAGCCACTAAAACTCTCGGCACACATGGGTGAATTTTCAAG